CCGGGTGGCTTATATTTGAAGGGCCTATTTAACGGAAGGTTTTTTTGCGTGACCGGTCTTACATAGAGGGCCTTATTTTCGGAATTTTACGGTAGATGTTGCGCATTTTACCACCCATGAATCAAGTCTGGCTTGCAACAACTCGGTTTTTGAAGAAAGTAGAGAGAAGTTCTACTTTTTAAATCTGTGCGTGTTGCGCGTTTTACCGGCCAAGGAAAAGTTGTTTGGCAGCAACTGATTAAGTGCCCTGTATGGTGTGACTCCCGCGAAATTTTGTCCAATCAGTAGTCAGTATTAACACATTTTGCAACAAACTGATTCAGTTGCAAGACAGGTTTGAACATGGGTGTTAAAACGCGCAACATCACATTCAAGACCTTCTGCAGTAATGTTCCAAAACAAGTTGCCCGTTAGTTACCGTGGTTTTACATGCGTACGCCTATGACCGTTGCTTTTGCCCGAATTTCCATTGTTTTTGAGCTTAAGGATCGTCCCAAGGGAATTTAAAGACAATGCTTACACAAAATAATTGTAGGACGAACATAAGGGACGTGTATTATGGTCCTTTTTGAAAGTGGAATAGGACTTTGTTCCGATCGCCGGTAATGAGCTGTTGAATTGTCAGTCGTTGTGTTCAACTTGTAAGCGATTCAGTTGCTGCGAGGACAGTTTTTTCATTAAATTCGCATAATTACTTACTTCATTATAATATAGTCAGTGTGCATTGCAGCTGACACAATGTTTGTTGCTGTTAAATGGTTTGTAAATGACCTGCCATCCAGTCAAATTTCAAAGTTACTATTGGTCTTTGAGTCAACAACGCGGTATTTACTATTGATAAATTCCAGTGGGAAAGGTATATAAACTGCAAAACGACGAGACCAGGAATTTGAATTAGAAGAAATCATGTACGCATATAGAGATTTCGTTACACCATGAGTACAGACGTTTTAAGAAGTGCTGGATTATTTTTCTGTCCGCTGTCGGCTTTACCTGATCTTATTGAAAGGGAGAGGATTCCTTGCCTCTCAGACTATCTCCTGTTTGACTTCGAAGTGAAACCAGGATGGATTCGTTATAGTCCCAAAGAGGTTACGGTACTGTCATGTAACGAAATGTTTAAAGCTATCTACCCGGTATCTGGGATAGCTCGAATTCACAATCACACTACTGTCAAGGTGAAGACCAAAGCTGATTACGAACAGTTGGTTGCTATGTTCAAAAAGCCCATAATCCTGTGTGTTACTAGAAGAGAACAGGATAGTCAATTTCTCGACGGTTTCGACGTGGACTTTGTTGTGGTGCTTGATCCTTCGGATTCCAAAATTGCACAGGAGTTGACTAAAATCACTGCATTAGTCCAAAAGCATCTCCGCAAACAAGACAAGTTTTACCTGACGGTCGATCTGGCTGAAAGACTCGAGGAGCTAACACCTCAGAATTTCAAGAGACGAGTTATGTGGCTGAATTGTTCTTTCAACGTGACAAATTTCCGCGCTCCGAATCCAATCTTGTCTCTCAATCACTTTTTCTTATGGGTCATGCTTCTGCCTTGCTGTATCACCGTCGCACTACCCTACAGACTCTACAGGAAACTTCGCTGTGTTGATGAGAAAATAGAACTAAACGTTCACTTCCGTTTGAAATTTTCTGATGCGGTGCCCCTTGCGCTGTATTTCTTCTCGGGACGTCATCCTCTTCCAGGTCGATACAAGACCCAAGGAGATCAATTTCACCTACGAGCTTGTCCAGCAACTGAACTGATGTCGCTTCTACACGGCTGAAGAACTTTTCACTTTCCTCTGATTTTGCAGCAGTTTGTTGACATTCGTGAACCGTTTAGTCCCATGTGATTCATACATACGTCTAGACCGTTTAGAGATCCTTATCGTTTTTTAAAGTCTAAACTTTGGTGTTACAATCCTTACTTTCCGCCTGTCATCGAACAAAATGAAATGCGCAAAATCTTGAATTGGTACTATGTGAAACAAGAAAATGAATAAATTAAATGATTATTTAATTGCTATATTTTGCTAGTATTCTGAAGCACCTTTCCGATGAGAGGCGTTATAAGACAAAGGGTGTCTGATGCAAAGTTAAACGTTTTGGGGGGCGTTTATTACAAGAGGCAAGAGGCATTTATTTGAGAGAAGAAGTATACTAAATCATTTACGGTAATATACAACCAAACAGAAAAAGAAAAAGAAAAGAAAACGATAAGGGATGGGAAGAGGGAAAGTACGCGGTTTAGCTTCTTTATCTTGCCCCCTCCTTCATCGTTTTCTTGTTTGAGCTCTTACTTTACGAAAGACGAACGAAAAACAAACTAAAACCTTCTGCTACCCAGGCTACTCACTTTCTTAAACCAATTGTTTTGGCTTTTGACGTACACCAAGGTTCGTTTGCAGCCGCTCTCTCGCGTCCTCTTTTCAGGTAGGAGCGTAGGCTCATTTGCAGAACAGCGGTTGGCAATCGAGCCCAACACACACGAGGATAAAAGCAAGCCTTCAACCTCGCACGTGTTCATTCAATTCCTCAAAATCGCAAGCCTGCGTTTAGGGCTATGTTCACACCAGTATATACCGACACGAAAAGCTATCCGGCATTTTTGTATATACAGTCGACCCTCCCGTAAGCGACCACCCAAAATGGAAAGACTTAAGTGGTCGCTTACAAGAATCGAACCACAGGGCGCCTCTTCCGAGAGGAGGTCCTGGCACATCCACTCTACGGAAGATGATTTATTGCATGCAATTTCTAAGTTGCGCCACGTGTAGTTCCACGTTGTCATTTAAGTTCTTCATATATTCTAAGTAGCATAGAGTACCCAGGGAACATAGACATCAGAGAATATACCAATTGGTCGCTTACAAGAGGTTAAAAACGATTGGAAAATCATTAAATTTTCAGGCCTAAAATGTGGTCGCGGTCGCTTACAGGAGGTGCTCGTTTTACTAGGGATTCCAAATGTAAGGTTTTGACTGGAAAAGTTACGGTGTTTTGCATTGGCGGTCGCTTATGTGAGGCAGACGCTTACGAGAGGTGGTCGCACATGGAGGTTCGACCGACTGTCAGTATATTTTATTTCAATATTTTTGCTTTTTGTACATACTTTTGTATATTTTTCCTCTAACTTGTTTTTAGAGGACATTAAGTTAGTAAACTGTAAAAGGATATTACGTCTCCCTCTTTAAATAAAATTATTGTATTATATTGTATAGTGTGAACACCTAACCGATACACTCTTTCTTTTTTATAAGAATATGTTTTGTAAGAATATCGAGGCTGAAATTTGCGAAATGTTAAGAATATTTTAACAATAAAGCCGAGGCTGAGATTTTGAAAAGGATAGATATAATTTTGTGTGTTGAAACAAGACATTTATGTTATGTTAAAATACAAAAATTGAATTGGCATATTTTAATAAGGAAAGAGACTTGCCGCTTTGTAGCCAACAAAACGAAAAAACCTGCACTAGCTATAGCAAAATGTTCAACGCTAATGACTGTTCGATAAACGGTACATGTAATACATGTACATATACCCCAATAAATTCTAAAACGGAAATGTCATAAGCTATAATTTAAGAATAATACAAGAATATTTTAAGCCTAAAATCGGCAGAAAAATAAGAATATTCAGCCTGGGCCATAAAAACAACATTCTTATAAAAAAAAAAAAAAGAGTGTATGTGACTCTCCACTTTAGAGATCGACGCGGCGCAGCTTCGCTACTGCTACAGAAATCGCGCCAAAATCATCGTTCTTATGTGTAAACAGAATCCCTAACCGGTATGGTTTTAATGCGGCCAAAACGCTGTCAGGAATAATATAAACATAGCCTAAAGCCGTTATGTTTTTACCATTACATGCGACGGGGAGGAGTCGGCCGTATTTGGACCCCCTGGTTAGCAATAGCGGGCCTTACGTAACTTGAGACTCACTTGTCTGAGCAGATTGGGCAGATTTGTGGTAGCTGATGGTATTAAATAATAGATCACAAAATCAAGGCAAAAAAATTCTTTATGATTTTACTTTATTTATGCTCATAAATTACTTGGCTCGTCAAGTTCAGAGAATTTTCTTTTAATTTAAAATCTTCGGCTTGATTTTCTTGAAACTAAAGCGATTTTTGCCAACCTTTTCGATCTGCTTGTCGCTCGGAGATGTCAAGCAAGCAAGTGTCCTTATCTCACTTGCGTTGCAGTCTCTTTCGATGTATTTTTTTTCTTCTGTGAGATATCTTCCAGGTGAGGGTCGTGAATTTGCAGAATAGAAATGGAGCACAAGAACAGTTTCTGGACAAAATTTCAGTACCAGTCGAAAGTGCAAATGTACTTTGTCATCATGAATCAAGGTTTTCCTTACAGCACGATACGGAAGAGACGCCACCAGGAAAACTGGAAACATAAGGAGCCACAGTTGCCACGAATTCAGCTGCAAAAACTGGCACGGCGTTGAGTGATTAGTGATGTAAAACTCACAGTTCAGCCAATAAACCAAGTTCTTGAACTCAGTTTTTGTAAGTTCATCACATAGGTCGGCAAAGTCTATTTTTAAACAAAACTTTTGTCCAGAACTTAACCGTTTTTTCACCTGGTCGAAAACCCTGTTGATCTGCTTGGCAATTTTGGGGTCTTTGGGATCCAAAACGATTACAAAGTCTGTGTCAAAGCCGTTGACCATGGCTTCGCATTCTTGTCGCCTCGTTGTACAAAACACTAGTGGTTTTTCTAGCATTTCCTTCAAATCTTCCAGGTCGTCGAAACATTTAACCTTGAAAACTTGTTTTTCCGCGTTCCAAATAGGAGCTAGCTCGTAAACTGGCTGGAACATCTCGTTGCGGGACAACACAGTCACTGCGTTTGGATTGTAGACAATCCAACCAGGTCTTACATTAAAATCCAGCAGAAAACTTTCTTGCAATTCAGGTTTAGAATTCAGAATGTAGGGGAACGAGGTGATTGGGAACATTAAAACTTCTGGCAGTGAAGATTCCAT